TAATAACAGTTTCCATACTTGGACCTTGAACTCCAGGGCAAGCAATATTTTTTTTGTCTTTTATGTCAAGCCCTTGCTGTATACTGATGTCCTGGCCACTGAATCCTGTGAGCACTTTTCTGTCCTTTCCTTATTTAACAGCTCCTTGGCAGTATTTGCTATTACTCAGCAGATGTCTTTCTTGACATCTTCTCCTTCCTTTGTTTCTGTAACACAATGTGTTCTGCTTTACCTCCTCCTCCTTTGGCCAATTCTTCTTTGTTTCATGTTCAGACACTTATTTCTCTTGCAGTCCTTTACTGGTTTTGGTTTCTTAAGTCTGTCCCCAAATCTGGTAACTCAATCTCTTAAATATCCCCTAAATCTGTTTCTTTCCCATTCAGTGGCATAACTTCAAATTCTTGGACAATTCTATTCTCATACTATACCACCAGCATTATAACCATGACTCCAAATATACATCTCTACCTCTCTAGTCCTGACCTTTCTCTGAGCAGTGCCAATTTCCTATTCCCAGTAGCCTCCAAGACTTCTGCCCTCAATCTCTCTATTACCTCAAATGGTATAATATTCAATGTGTTAGGTCACATCAATTAAACTTTTCTCAACACTCAACACTCCCCCCACTGCATGCACAAATGCATTTCCTGCCCAGACTTGATCCCTTCTCAACTTCCCTATTTCTGTAAAATAGCACTGCTACCATTTCATTCCTTTAGTCTTTAGAATTATAGGCATGAGCCACTGTGCCTGGTCCCCTTAGTCTTTAAGGCTAAAAACTTCAAGGGTTAATTCTGACTCTTTCCTTTTTACCATGTCCAACCAATCACCACCAGGATTCTTCCTTGGAATAATCTCTTCTGTTATCCATTTGCATTCATTCTAACCGGAATTATGATGGCCTGAGACCTTCTGCTTAGATTATTGCAATGACCTCCTTATTAATCTCTTTCTCTCCAGTCTCTTTCTCTACTCTGCACACCTGTCAGATTAACTTTACAAAAATGCTGTTCTGTTCATAAAATTGTCACTCTTTTCCATAAGAATATAAAAGCTTCACATTGGTCCACATGTGGTGGCTCATGTTTGTAATCCTAGCACTCTGGGAGGCCAAGGTGAGTGAACTGTTTGAGCTTAAGAGTTTGAGACCGGCCTGAGCAAACATTGAGACCCCATCTTTATTAAAAACAGAATAACTAACCAGATGTTGTGGCGGGCACCTGTAGTCACAGCTACTCAGGAGGCTGACGCAAGGGATCACTTGAGCCCAAGAGTTTGAGGTTGCTGTGAACTAGGACGCCACATGGCACTGCGCCCAGGGCATAGAGTAAGACTCTGTCTCAAGAAATAAAAAAATAAACAAAAGCTTCACACTGTATATAGACTTAAGGCCAGACTCCTTCAGACTGAAGTTCAAAACACTTTGTTAACTAGCTCCATCCTTTCCATATTAACACAACACCCACAATTTCATTGTCTGCTCCAAGCCAATTTCGTCCTCCCTTATTCAGGCAGCAGATCATCACTACACTGTCTTTGGTAATGTTATTTTCTCTGCCTAAAGTACTCATTCCACTCCCATACTGTTCAAGTTTAAGAGCCACCATTTCTCATAAAGTCTTCCATGATAAACACTAGTTCAATTTAAGATACCTGTGAGTAAACAAGCCAAAGATTGGGAGTTTACTGTATGAGCTGAAGCTAAGAAGAGGCATCACTGAGTCATCAGCATACAGAAAGGATTTAAAGTCTTGGGAATTAATGCACTTACCATCCACTAAAAATGGATGAGATCACATAGAATAAAATGAGGAAGAGGTCTAGGACTGAACTTTGAGGAATTTCAACATTTGAAGATTAAGGAAAGGAGGAGGAACAGTCAGAGACTGAGTAGAAACAAAAATGTAGGAGGGAAACCCAGAAAATGCAGAGTTTTTGAGGCCAAAGGAAGAGTCTCAAGAAAGAGATAATTGTCAACTGTGATAAAACCTAGCACACACAGGTCAACAAAAACTAAAAAGTGTCCAGTGGACTAGCGGCAAACACAGAAGGACTTTAAAGGAGTGGTAGGAGCAGAATCCAGATTGGAATGGGTTTAGAGATAAATAGGAGGTAAAGAAGTAGGAAAAAAAGTGTTAGACTACTCTTGTTTTCTACATAAATTATGATACAAGAAGCTATGCAATGAATTCAACAAGGTTCTTCTCTATACACACACAAACACATCATTCTCATATAAGTGTATAAGACTTAATTTTTCAACTAGATTGGAAAAGACTGTAGAAAGGAGACTTCTATTTTTTCTCAAAAAATAAAAATAAAAGAGAGAGAGAGAAGTAAACCCTTTATTTTTTGGAAACAGGGTCTTGCTCTAATGCCCGGGCTAGAGTGCAGTATCATCATCATAGCTCACAGCAACCTCAAGTTCCTAAGTTTGGTTTTGGTTTTTTGTTTTGTTTTGTTTTTTACAGTTTTTTGGCTGGGGCTGGGTTTGAACCTGCCACCCTTGGCATATGGGGCCAGCGCCTACTCCTTGAACCACAGGCACCGCTCACAAGTTCCTAAGTTCAAATGATCCTCCTTCCTTAACCTCCTCAGTAGCTGGGACTACAGGCACATGCCACCATACATGGCTGATTTTTCTGTTTTTTTACAGAGATGGGGGCTTGTTCTTACTCAGACTGGTCTCAAACTCCTGCCCTCAAGCAATCCTCCTGCCTTGGCCTCCCAAAGTGCTAGGATTACAGGTGTGCGCCACTGTGCCTGGCCTGGAAATGCACTATTAAATTTTTTTTTATTTTTACTTTCTACAGTTTGAATGCTTTTAAATCAGGTAATGAAAAGCAAAAAGAACATATTATTTCCCCTGATCTTCTATTTATATATTTAAGATTATCAGTGCTCTAGTAGTCTATTTCTGACCTAGATCTTATTGTTACTTATGCCCAAGAGGGGAGGAAAAAAACCCTCATTTACATGAGGAACAAAATGGCTCTGAGATAGAATTACAAAGAATCAATTGCATGAACCCTTTTCTTTTTTATTTAATCCTCTGTAAATTACATAAAGAATTGACTATTGCAGAAATGACATATTTCTTAATTAATCTTTATGTATTATAAAGAAAATAAAATTCAAAACTGTGCCTCTTTTTTCAAAAAGATGACTTGCATACTTTACCACACTGTCCAGCAGTGTCTGATTTCTTTTATTACTATTGTGAAAGTATTTGAATGTACTACTCATTAATCCATATGCTCTTTCACACCATTTGATTCTTATTTTTGTTAAATGGACTTCTGATTTCAGAAAGAAGCATTCAAGTCATCCTTAATCCTCCTCTTTGCTGAAATATGCTTTTATTTGCTAAAGAGATAGAGATAAGATGATGTTAAGGATTATTTTTCCTGTGAAATATGCAATAAATAGATAAAATGGTTTATGTGTTGGGTTTTATTTTTTTCTAGAGAAGACTACCACAGCAAATTTGAACAAGTAAAGCAGAGCGATGGGTGGCAGGCTAGGAAATCCATGGCTGCCTTTGTCATACCACAACCTGCAGCAGCTGTCTTCTCAAGTCTCTCCCTCCCACACCCTGCTATGTCTGCCAACACAGAAGGAATGAATGGGCTCTGCAGAGCACTGTAAATAGCACTGCAGACCCTGAAAATCCATCACTGAAATCCAAAAGGAAAAATTATCTACCAATATACAAATTTTCGATTTTGGTGGTCAAACAAATCTTTACCTCTGAAACTTCATCACCAACATCAAGCGATACCAAGTCCAGAGATTTATTCTGCATAGCCCATCATTGTTGATAATGGAGCCTTTCTAAACAGCAAAAGAATGTTACTGCAATTCATTTCCTATGGGTGAAAGCAAAGCCTTTTTGTTCAAAGGGGCAATTGAGCAACCACCAGATTCTCTAGTTGAATAGCAACGGTGTAAGGATGGCTACAATTCCCACAGTTAGAAGCCCAACCACAGAGGAGGAGATTTACCAAATTCACATATGAACTACATAAAAATGAAATGCAGATATTGAGCTGATATTGTTGTCTATGGATGGAGGCGATATTACAAAATGGTCTTGTCTTTATATAACTTTCCTTTTTAACGTGGTGCCTTGGTTATAGTATTAATTATTAAAATTATTTGCTTGTTACTTTTCAGGAAAAAAAAACTATGTGGAAATAAAACTGCACACACAGGTAGTGCAGCTTCTGACCTCAATTCTTTCTCTTTGTATTTTCCCAATTCTACATCAGGAAAGATGATTCATTCCTAGGGATAATATACCACACAATATGTATTACATAGACTTCCCATAAAGAAATAGTTCTAGAAAACTGTTGAACTACTGTATGTTCATTAGCTCTTAATTACTGCCGTGTTAGAACTATTTGTGTGCTTCTTCATTTAGTATGGTTATTTTTTTTCCATCTTCCATTTTTGTTAAGCTTTTTGGTGTGTGTGTGTGCACAAGTACGCAAAAGGTTTGAAAATAAATTATTGAACCGGAGAAACCATTTCAAATGACTCAATTACTAAATCTTTTTAAAATTAAAACCCCTCACATTTACCCAAGCCATTCTGACATTACTTTCCTCTTCCCTCTTACTTGATTTTTAAAATTACAGATGTTGAACCCTAACCAAATGTAATCGAGTTTAATATACAAGAAAGGGCTGGGAGTAATTTTCCATTAAATACTTAATCGCGATATAAATTCGGCAATTAAGTGTAGGAGAGAAAAGCTTACACAGGTGTTTTTAACTGTAGTTTGAAGTTTAAGCAATGTAAAATCATCCAACCCCAGTCTTCTTTCTTCCTGTCTGTCCCTCCCCATTCCCACCCCATAATGGATGCTCCGCGGGCCGCTTTTGCTGGGCCTCTTTGTCTGAAGGATGCAAACAGTCTATGGATGCTAGGGAAAAAGGGGTGGGGGAGAGATTACCTCATCCTATGTTGCTTGCACCAATCACCACTCTCCTGTTATGGCTTCTCTGGGCAGATTGAGGGGTCTGGACCAACAGGAAAAGGCCCCGGCCCATCCCCATGGTGACTGAGCTGTATATAGGGAGCCGCATCCGCCCATGTGCCGCAGGTTCTCTTACATCGACCGCCTAAGAGTCGCGCTGTAAGAAGCAACAACCTCTCCTCTTCCTCTCCGCCATCTGCTCGGCAGCCGCGAAGCAGCAACCATGGTAAGATTGTTTTCTCCGGCTCTTTTGTGGCCGGTGGGTGGAGTCAGTCCCCCAGGCTCTCTGCGAAATCCTTAGGCTTTTTTCTTTTGCAACCTCTTTGAGTAAGGGGAGTCTTATGCTTTGTTGTGAGGTTCAGCTTTGTTTGCCTTACATCCTTAAGCCTCGCCGCCGCTGCAGTGCGGGAAGCAGGAACCGGGCCAGCACTGCGCCCAGGAGGCAGGAGAACCACGGGAAGAACAAAGGCGGCGCCAGGGAGTTTTTGTTATCCGAGAGCCCTTGGAGACCGCAAGCAGCCCATCTGCCATGATGGACTGGGGCAGGGAAAAGATGTGGTGGCGTCGTCTGCTCGGCCGTAGTGTGTGCGCACAGTATTCGTGTGACTCGGGTCCTTTTCTTTCTCGCGTTGTACCCCAGGGACAGGGAGAGGCGTTGTCTTCCAAAAGACCGAGGGGCGGTGGGTGTAGCTGGGGGGCGGAGTGGGGGGGGAGGGAGGGGAGAAGCGGAGAAGACAGGGACAAAGCGGAGCCTCGGGTTAGTTTAAGAAAATCCCTCGCGGGTTCGTCGGTATTTTAGAAAGATACCCATGCTATTAACGGGAAAAAGTGGTTAGTTTTTGCTGGAGCCCTTGGCAGCCAGTGTCAGGGCGGCGCAGGGGCGGAGTTGTTTGTTTCTGGTTTCTCTGGCGTTAGAGCCACTGGGCGGGGTTCGCCCTCCGTAAACCCCACCCGGTCCGGAGAAGACTTTTAATAAAAGCCTTTCATCTTTGCGGAACTGTATCCTTCGAGATGTTTTTCATTCACTGTTATGATTTAAATGAAATATTTGTTTTTTCTTGAGCAGAATAACAATTACTTGACAAGCTCTGTTATATCTGCTCTCGGGACGCACCGCCCTAACCAACCAAAGAGAGAATGTCTGTGTGTCTGTCTTGGGCGCATGTTCAGCGAGAAAGCCCACTTTGTGAGCCCCATGGTATCCTAATGGTCAGGACCCAGGGAAACGCCCTTCTCCCACCCCCTCTCATCTGTCAGTGAATAGACAATGAAAGTTGTAGGCCTAAAGATAACAGAGAAGAAAATCTCTATTGGATTCAAAGAGATGGTGGTGGGTAGAGAATTTCAGAATGAAAATGCTATTTTGTTGTTTTAAACAAATATTTCAGTATCCTTTAACTGGGCTTTAATTCTTTGTTTTGTAGCTTCTCATATAATTGCTTCTAACTTAGGAACTTTAAAAAAATACTAAGAATTTTTCAGTTTTTTACGGTGGAGGATATTCTGGAAAAATATTTTCTTAAAAAAGTAGTGAAATAGCTACAGACAAGGAAGAATTATACTCTGCATCCCGTTGCCTTTTGTTCTAGTGCATCTTCATTAATTCATTTTGATTCAGGCACATGGTCCCAGGCTGGGTCAGAGGAGGAAAACCAGCAAAACAGCACCATGAGATCATGTAGGCAGTTGCTGGAAATAGAGCTTGCTCTGTTAAATAATGTAACAGACAGTGCAGGCTGGCACCAGGCACAGCAATACAGCAATGCAGCAATGCAGGAGGCAGACCTTGCCTTGCTTTGATGGGTCCTGCGGATAGACTGCAAAAGGGTGTGGCTTCTAGCCTCAGCTGCAGTACAGATGTCTAGGTTGTAATACCAAGTACTAATCAGAAAGAAAAGCCCTTCATCTTCATTTAAGGGAGGATGAAGCAGTGAAATTAATTTACATTAATGATCAAATTTAATTTACCTTGTTTTACAAAATCTGTGCTTTGAAAACTTTTTACATATAAAAAATCTTCTATTTGAGCATGACTGTGGAAACAATGGGTATGTGCCATGAGCTAAATAGCACCAAGGTGACATTATTCAGACCACACCCATGTGCAGCATCTGCAGCTGGTGCTTTTCCTCAGTCATTTCTATCATATTACAAATATAACCTCAAATAATTGTGAACAATACCTGTATATTACTAAGAAATATTCTTAGAAATTTAATGAAAATTCAAAATGATAATAGAGCTTAATTTCACAGTTTTTTTTACTTTTCTTCCCACAGCGTGAGTGCATCTCCATCCACGTTGGCCAGGCTGGTGTCCAGATTGGTAATGCCTGCTGGGAGCTCTACTGCCTGGAACACGGCATCCAGCCCGATGGCCAGATGCCAAGTGACAAGACCATTGGGGGAGGAGATGACTCCTTCAACACCTTCTTCAGTGAGACGGGGGCCGGCAAGCATGTACCCAGGGCAGTGTTCGTAGACCTGGAACCCACAGTCATCGGTGAGTTGACTCCGTAACCCAAGTGAGATCCTAGGGTGCTGGGGCAGGAGGTCTGTCCTGTCAGGGCTGAGCAGGCTGGTGCAGGTGACTGAGTGATGGATGGCTGGTTTGTTTTCCCTTTCCAGATGAAGTTCGTACTGGTACCTACCGCCAGCTCTTCCACCCTGAGCAGCTCATCACAGGCAAGGAAGATGCTGCCAATAACTATGCCCGTGGGCACTACACCATTGGCAAGGAGATCATTGACCTTGTCTTGGACCGAATTCGCAAGCTGGTAAACAAACACTATATAAAAATGTCTTTTAAATGGGGTGAGAGGAGTCCAATGCAAGTTTGGTGGAGTGCTAAATGACAGCATTCATTCTTTAGTGCCTGCCAAAGTGTAGAATAGGCTACTTACTGTATTAATTGGACTTCTAGACAGTCCTGGGTTATGGTCAACTTGTTAATGTGTCTGTTTTGCCAACTGATCATGCTTAACATTGATCTGGCATGGTTCATAACTTGAAAAGAAAAAGAAACTCAAAGTAAGAAAATGTATCTTGGCATTGAAATGCTACATTTTCTATTTTCTTCCTCCACAGGCTGACCAGTGCACAGGTCTTCAGGGCTTCTTGGTTTTCCACAGCTTTGGTGGGGGAACTGGTTCTGGGTTCACCTCTCTGCTGATGGAACGCCTCTCTGTTGATTACGGCAAGAAGTCCAAGCTGGAATTCTCCATTTACCCAGCCCCCCAGGTTTCCACAGCTGTAGTTGAGCCCTACAACTCCATCCT